GCTAGCATTTCTTTATATTGTGCTGACCCTTGCCAAGGTTGAAATCTTTGTTGGCTCGGGGTCTTGTGTTGCTCCTCAAAGGCTACATACGCAGAGCCTGCTTTACCTCCGTCAGTAAAAACATGAAGGGCGCCAGGAATAGGCGCAGGAGAAAATAGAGATGGCATTTGGAGGGGAAGTCACCATAACATGACAGTCCATTTGGATGGCCCATAATGACAGTCAATTTGGCCTAGAAACCCCTCCAAGGAGAGAGCAAGATGAGCATTGGCTCGAGTGAGCCACTCAACGTCTGCCATCCGAAAAGGAAAAATAATGGAGTGAGGGTCAAGGCCATAATGCCTTTGGGCTTGGGTCCTTCCCTTGGCAATAGCATATGCAAATTGGTTTGCTTGAAAGTACACCCGAGGTGTGCCCCCCAGGGGAGTGTGAACCTACTCTAATGGCTCCCCACTTTGAGTTAAAACTGCAGAAATTAATGTGACACCTGCAAACAACCAAAGAAAAATGGGCTCAAAAATAGAATACCTCTTTAGGGAAACTTCATCCAAGGCTTTTTGGAACTGCAAAAATATTACCCTATGGTTGTCTGTAATTGTAATAACTTCTTGTGGCATCCTGTCTTTTAGTAGGGCAAATAAGGGCACAAGCCTATCTTTAGGGACAGAAACTCATGGCAACAGCCAATTGATTTCCCCTAAAAGACTCTGAAGTTGGGTTAAGGTTAGAGAGGCTGGAACATCCAGCAAAGGCTTAAGGGGGCTGGCCTGAGTCAAGGAAAGGTGGGTCCCGAGCACCTTAAATGGAGCTACCTTTTGAATTTTATTAAGGGCTATGGTAAAACCCCCCTTTTTTAATATGGCGAGAACCTGGGCCAGAAGGCCCTCCAGGCAGCTCAGGTCTTGGTGCCCCAGAATTATATCATCCATGTAGGCATAGGCAAGGGAGGTATCTGAACCCAGCACAGGCCCTAAAAGTGTGGCCAAGTATTGTTGGCAAAAGGCTGGGCTATTGGCCATTCCCTGTGGCGGCACCGTCCATTCAAACCTCTGATCAGGCTGGCAAAAATTAAGAGAAGGTATGGAGAAAGCAAACTTCTCGCAGTCATCTGGATGCAGGGGGATAGAAAAAAAAATCTTTAATATCAATCACAACCAAGGTATGTTCTGAAGGAATAGCGGGAGTCCAGGGCATGCCTCTTAGGGGCGTTCCTACTAGCTCCAACCTTTCATTTACCTTACATAGATCTTGAAGCATATGCCAAGCCCTGGAGGCTTTTTGAATAACAAATACGGGTGTGTTCCAAGGACTCATAGAAGGGCGCATATGCCCACGGTTTATCTGTTCCTCCACCAGAAGGTGGAGAGCTACAAGTTTAGATTTGGTCAATGGCCACTGCTTCACCCAGATTGGGCTTCCTGGCTTCCACCTAATGGGAGGTACTGGGGGGGGGCAGTGGTCTTTAGGATTGGGGGTGCACTTGAGCAGGTCCCCTATGTTCTTCTCTGTAATTATGAAAGTTTAAAAAATCATTTTCCTTAACTCCCTCTAGCTCCTGTTTGAGCCTTTGTGCTTCTTCTCCATCCAGGATATCATTATAGGATGCTTGATGGTCTGTAGTGACCATGGCATCCATTTGTCTTAGCATGTCTTGCCCTAGTAAATTGGAAGTAAGGTTCTTTGCCACTAAAGGGCGTATCTTTCCCTGTTCTCCATCTGGGCTAGTCCATTTCATAAGGGCAACCGTCTCTTTGGGCTGGGAGTTGCCCCTACCCCCAATATAGGGGGCCCAGGTGCAAGCTTCCAGTCCAAGGGCACTTCCTCCTCCCTGAGTATGGTTCGATCTGCCCCAGTGTCAATTAAGCAGTGAAACCTCTTTCTGCTTATAGGGCAGAGTCCTTCCAGCAGGGGGACGGTCCAATGGGCCTGGGTCGCCCTGCTGCGAGGCTGCCTGGGCCTCACAGCAGAGGGGGTTCCTCCTTGAGTTAACGGGGCTGGAGGATGCCCCTCCCCTAGTTTAAAGGCTTCCCATCTAAATCAAACTTGGATTGACAATCCTTTTTCCAATGGTATCCCTTCCTGCACCTAGGGCAGGGTGTAGGGGGCGGTTTGGTCCCCCGGGCCGGTTATTCTCTGTTCGCACTCTGCATTCCTCCTTAAAGAAAGCACACCATTTAATAAACTGAGAACTAGTAAGGACGGCTTTGGCTACATCCAGCCAGTCCTTAGGGTCACACGGGTGATAAGCAGTGTCCTATAATAGGGTCTGGGCCCAAGGAGAGTTCGGGCCATCCTCTGCCACCACCTTGCGGAGCTCTTTAAGATCCTTATCTTCCCATGGATACCATTCCAAGGGCCTGTTAGCTCCTGGTAACAGATTGACTGGATACACTTGGGGAAACAAAGCCTGTGGCCTAGGGCCCAGGCTCTCAGGTGGCCCTTCCCTTCCAAGGTAGGCCCCAGGCCTCGGTCCCTCCATGGAAGGTTTGTAGGGGTCTGGGTCTTACAAGTCCCTCTTGCAGGTCGAGTAGGGCACCGTACCTCCCCTCCAATCAGGGGAATAGGGAGGGGGCCTACAACCGTCAGGGGCACCTGAGTCAGAGGGGGTAACTTTCACCCTCATTTTGACTTCCACTGTGCATGTTTCAGTGCATTCTCGGTTGAATTTGACCCATTCCTTTTCCTTCTCACTTCCCAAGTCCTCCTGTACTCTAGGCCTAATGTTGCCTCCTCCTCCTTCCTCTGTGAGATAGCATTACCCATACTAAGTGTTTCACTTATCCTGAGAGACCGCTTAGCCTCAGCCGGTATCTTTTCTTTTCATGCCCCACGTTGGGCACCATCCTGTGTAAGACAGACGGGGTCTGGGGAAAAGTAAGTGTGCCACTCTCCCGTTCCCCAGCCTCCCTCAGCCTGGGAGACAATCAGATGCAATGGGGAGTCAACTCAAGCAGGAAGAAACTTGTTTATTAACACAGAGCAGCCCTTTTTAAAGCAAAAAAGAGCGGGTGGCATGGCAGGGGAGGAAGAGGAACCAATCACTGTGAAGGTCACACCCTATCATGCACCTAAGCCTCCACGGGCTGGTTACGCACTAAATATAAAACAAATGGGCTCTGCCCACTCAACTCCCTCTCAGTGCCATCTTTGCTGCCCATGTGCTCTATACCTCTGTATCTCACCTCTCTAGTAACAATAAAGTTAATTAATAATTAAAAATAAATTATGCAATTTGGAACCAACAACTAATGATTTTATTAATCATTAGTGATCTGATTCTGATGTTTCCATTTTCCCCATATTTATGTTTTCCTTATGAATAGGAATTGAGAATTAAAGCAAATATCTACCAATAGAACTCTCAGAAGACTCTCATCATGAGCATAAAGCGAATTTGGATGTTGAATCACATAGTTGGGTTATCTTTAATAATTCACTAGATTTACAGATTTTTTTGTCTTATGTGTGGGTATGCTACAGGTATGCTCAATGATTTTATGCCATCTTATTTTCTCTCTACTCTAACAAAGACATGATTGGAAGACTGTATAAGGACTCTATGTTTTGGCATGGATTTTATATGTAAGATAAACTACTCCAACCACCTGAAAGTACAGAGATATCAGCTGCCTAAGATGTGCAGTGTGTGCATGTGAAATGCCACAGAGCAGGTGACAAAGAAGTCTAATTGATCAAAGAGAATATTTATTGCACAAGTGCTGAGCTTTCTACAATAAATGTATGCCGAAAGGTTGTATGTAAATCAAATGACTGAAAAATGAATAATATAAAAGGCATTAGGGAAGCTAACTACTTAAATAAATTCCCTCAAGACTCTTCAAGTCTAAGAATCCTTTTGTAATGTCAAGTATTTGTCTTTTTACTTAAAATCAATTTTTTGCATATGCAGTTTTTTTAATTGAAGTACACCTGTACTAGAGAAAAAACACTAGTTTAGGGAAACTGTATATAATATTGACTCTGCATTGTACTTTCTAACTGTTGTGCCAAGAACTTAGTACAGAAATGCTGGCCTATTGGCTCTCTTGGGCTTGTGGAATCTCTTATACTAGAGAGTCTAGTTGACTGGTTATCTATCCAGAAGCAGACCTATCCCATCATGCTGTGTTCAAACCCCAGTATCCTCAAAGAAGTAGCTCTACCTCCAGCTTTTTGTTGGTTAATGGGAGACAAGAGTCTCACAGACTTTCTTGCCCTGGCTGGCTTTCACCCACATACCTCAGATATCAGTCATTTGAGTAGCTAGGATTATGGGCATGAGCCACTGGTACCCAGCTAGTCAATATTCTCACTACTTGTCACCCAATATGGAAGGAATATTTGTTGAGTTTCATATTAACTCTCGTTGGTTCCATTAATGCCAATACATTTTCTATGATATAAGAAAAAATAATCTACACCTGTATTTTCTACATTTTTTGAAGATTAACAGTAGTTTTTTTATTTGGATTTATCTTCCTTAAAAGTTATTTGATATAGGGCTGGGAAGGTGGCTCAGTGGTAGAGCGCTTGCCTTGTATGCCTGAAGCCCTGGGTTCGATTCCTCAGCACCACATAAGCAAAAAGAAAAAAGCCAGAAGTGGCTCTGTGGCTCAAGTGGTAGAGCGCTAGCCTTGAGCTGAAGAGCTGAGGGACAGCGCCCAGGCCCAGAGTTCAGGCCTCATGACCGGATCCCCCAAAAAAGTTATTTGATATAAATCAATTGTATTAATAATGTAATTAATATAATTAATAAATGTAATATAATTAATAAATATAAAATGTGATTTACTTTGAATATTTCATGAGGCCCTAATATTTCATGAATATTTCATGAGGCCCTAATATTTCAAAGAACAGATAGATGAATTTTTAAAACCAACTATCAGCAAATGTCACGGTTTTGCTGTCATCAGTAACCAATATTTAATAGTCAAGAGGTTTTCAGTTAAAAGTTATATTGACTTACTTAAAGAATGCCTTTCTCTGTGGTTTTCTAGGTGTTTGACTATGATTTTGGCCTGCAAGATGACTTTATGGGCTCAGCCTTTCTAGATCTCACTCAACTGGAGTTAAACAGGTAACTTCAGTTATCATATTACCTTGCTATATAGCTGGGCCTGTAAAATAGGAAATAGTCTAGATTTTATCTACGAGTGTGTCACTTATATCTGGGAGGCTTCAGGCTAGCCAATCTTCTTGAAGTACATCTTTTTCACCTGACCGATGAGAATCCTAGCTTTTTCCTTGACTGCCTCATTCTTAGAATACTGCTCTATCCCTCCGAACTGTGCTCTAGAAAAATAGAGATTAAAGGTATATTTCTCAATCTCATGTTGCTCAGATGAATGAGATAAGGCATAAAGAAGATTAAGTTTGTCATCATAATTATTCAAGGGTCAAGCTGCTATCTATGAAAAAAACACATGCACTTTGCTTTAGAATAGCTTCTCTAAGATGTGTTCTAAAAGCAGAAACATACTGGTTGTGTTTCCTGTTACATTATTTGTTACTTCTTGACTGGTTGTAAACGTATATCATTTTTACTAGTATTAATCATTTCTTATACCTGAAAATGGTTTTCCACACGCATTTCAGCATAGAAACTGTAAATTGAATGTAGTGATGAAATAAACAACATGGTTCAATGAAGCTATAGTGCCAAACTGGGTTACGGGGAAGCTGTGAAATCTGTGATGGCTGTGAGAAGGAATTCCTGTTTGGGATCATCATGTTATATCCTGTGACAGAGATAGTGGTTGGGAAAACTGTGATAAACCAGACTATGATTTCTTTTTCTCTAATGTGGGTAAATAAAAAATAAGAGAACCCCCTTGTGAGCCACATGTACAACACGCATAGAGATGGCTTATTGATCTTCCAGTGATCAGATTTTGCTGTCCTTCATACACATTCTTCATTCCAACATAAAGCCTAAAAACTAGCTTATAGAACTTAGTTGACTGATGGCTTACCACCTTTGGAGAAAGTGTCCTAAGATCTGGTATAAATGATGCAGCCATTATCATGAAGACAGCTCAAACTAGAAAGACCACGTTCTTCTACAAAAGCTACAATTGCTTTCTCTACCAACTCTGCATTAGGATATACAGATTGTAAGATTTAATACTACCTATTAACAACTAGATCCTGTTTCATGGTCCTTATCTCAAATACTGAGGATGCTTGATTCATTTTTTTCTGTAATGCTCTCCTTCTGTAAAAGACTTTTGGCTTATTCGTTGAATACCATTAAAAATCTAAATATTTTCTATCACAGGTCCACAGATGTGACCCTGCCTCTGAAAGATCCCCATTATCCTGACCATGATCTTGGAGTCATCTTGCTTTCTGTCATACTTAGCCCTAAAGAAGGAGAACCTAGGGATGTGGTAAGTTCCTCTACTACCTAATAACAGCTCTTTCTTGTGCTCATTTTTCAAATATTGTGAGCCTTGTTTGACCCAGAAGTCATAATAAAGAAAAGCTACATAGGGCCATTTGGCCTGTTCTTTGTCTCGTGAGCATACCGATTATTGCTAGTCCATGCTTTTTTGTTTCCAACTCAAATTTCCTATTCCACACTCCAGATCAGAACCTCTTGTTATAAAATTGATTTATATTGTTTTACAATTTTATTTCTCAATCTTAGACTTGTTATATGTAGGCACAGATTGTGTTCAATCAGGGAATACAGTTAGAGTGAACTGAATAGTTGGTTTTCCAACTGAAGTACCCAGACCCTACTAGTTTGATTCTATTATCAGGTGTGGCATGTCAAAGAAAAAATGAAAATGGAATTATAACAGAGTTTCTGCTTTCTGGTATTTGTTTACTGAATGAGAAGCGAGTACCTTTCATTTTCTTGATGGATTTCCATATTGATTTTACCCATTCTTTAGCACTAACTCTTTACACTTCCTTGCATACCATGCTGCTGGGAGAAATTAACAAGGGATGCACAGGAGCCAATTACTCCACACCACTGAAGTGGCATTGAACTATTTCAGGTTTCACCCAGAGCAGTATGCTTGCCACTGCATTTTCTGCCACAATTTACCAAAGATTATTTATTGGACTCTGTGTGTATTTATGGACCTGGGAACTATACTAGCCCTAATTGTAACATGTTTTTGTAGTAGACATAATACCTTAAGCAAGTTCAAATACTCGATTTCAGCAATATGTGCATTTCTGTCTGAAAATGATGTGTGATAAAAGTTGGTATATATTGCCACTCCCCAATTGTAAGTAAAACTACTGAAATCCAACTTTAAATTTGGAAGCATTTTAAATTAATTGAAGCAATTCAAACCTTGAAAGCGATTTTTCTATTATTTTTTTAAAAAGAGTGAGTCCACAAAGTCATCTGTAATCTTTTCTAAGGATGAGTGAAATATTTATACTTTACTCACTGAGAAAGAAAAGTTTCTTTTTCAACAAGTATTGCCAAATATTCCCTACTGTGCTTGCTTGGTGAATCATATAGATGGAAGAATAGATAGAAAAACTTTGACAATGAGTATTGAGAAAAAGAAGTCCATCATTCCAAAGTCACCAGATCCAAAGATGTGACTTCACTCTGCACAAACCAGGAAGTAAATTCTATCTGGCTAGTTCAAACATATGAATAAATTGTAAATACTCATATTGTGCATTATTCAAACAATCCTCATATTCACTAGGAGCCTACTGAACACCAATTTCCCATGCTGGATACTTAGGCTATCATATATTTATACTCAATGCAGACATCAAGAATCAGATAATTACTGAAAGAAGCATAAAGTAATCACTGTATCTATATAACAGTGAACAGGAAAATTTTTAGTAAAGGGACAGGGATTCTCTAAAAAATTCAAATGCAAACTGTAGTTAAAAAGATGAAGTTAAGAAACAATCTAGAAGAGAAATGGTTCAAACAGTGGAAAGTACACATGAAAAATCCTGTGACTAGAAAAGCCATATTGCATTTGAAGAATTGAGAAGGTATTGAAGCTTTGAGAAGGCAGAATCAAAGAGAGTATGGGTGATCCTGCTGCTTAGTTCACCATGCATAATACACTGGAGGGGAAGGGAGATGGTCAGAGTATGGTGGGGGGGGGGGGAGCCTATTGTCCAGTTTAAGATTTCTGATCTTTTCCCAAAAAACTTCAGTTAACCATTGACCAGTCTGCAAATAGGAAGGGATTGTATTTGTCTGTTGAAAATATCACTGTGCTTACATTGTACAAAACAGATTGAAGAACTAAGAATGGATGCTTGGAGACCAATTAAGTGGCTTTTGCAAAAATCTAGTTGAGAGATGATAAAGATTTGGATTAGAACTCTCAGAGGTAGATATGGAGGAAAATTGGCAAGTTTACCTGTAGGAGGTTAAAAAAATATCAGCAAGACTTGGTGAAATAACATTACAGTTAGTCTTCTTTGTTATTTTAATGAAGGATATACTTCAGAAACAAACCAAGTACTTAAGGTCCTTTATATTCCCAAAACATGTACACTTGCAGGTGAATATTGGAATAGTAAGGCAGCTACCATAGTTATCTGGGTGATTTGATGACAATGGATAGTCTGTTGAGTTTTTACATTACAGAAATCTTTATTAAATTGGCTAACTCAAGCTGAGTGGTTGAAGGATCAAGTTAGTATAAAGAGACTTTACACTGAAATTGTTGAGTTACTCAGAACTAGACAAAAATATATTGAAGCATAAAAGCAATTAATTCTCAACTTTATCTTTTCTTCTAAAATATTCACAAAAATTCTTCAATCTCCATGGCTGCTCAAAGCTATATGTAAACATTAAAGAAGTATTTCTGATTAGAAAAAAATCTAAAAATATTACAGTAACCAGGATTTGTTTATTGAGTTTTCAAATGTAAATATGAAAAAGATGGGCTATATGAAAACTTTAAAAATCTGATTTAATTCGTCTTTTAATCCTTTTTTTCTCCTACTCATCTCTCTTCAGCCACCTTCACCTTTCACACAGATTTCTCCCTAAAATCCTTATGCCATTTCTTTGATTTAGATCCATTTAATGACACTAGACTTTTAAAAATCTTTCCTGAATGTTCGTAGTTTCCATTCACAGACCTACTTTCAGAGAATCAGATGGCACTGGATTTATTCTGCTCACAAACAGGAAATAGGATCTTTTTCCCTAACACCTTGTTTGTAACTCTCCCCTAGTTCTTCTTTAGAGAAGGATGTAGCTCAGCCAAGACTCAGCAATGTTCTAAACCAGGATCAGCCTCATCCTGGGAACACCCAATCACTGTCCTCCTGACACTGGTCACACACAAGGAGGCAGAGAGAAAAACTTTCTGTGTGGCTGTGCTGGCTCATCCTCATGTATGTGATCAATGACCAGAGCATGGGCCTGGCTATAGAGAAGCAAGCTGGGTGGCAGAAGAAAGTGTTTAAAAAGTGCTCAATAGGACATCCTACTGGGATCCAATTTCCTTGTCGTTCTAACATGCAAGATTGGAATCTGTGTTTCTAAGTTTATGTTTTACATTGTGAAAATTACAAGAACTGCGTAGCTTTTAAATTTTTATCTCTGTTTATTTGGCCTAAGCTGTTATTCAATTGCAACTTATATAAGATACTGGAAATGACTTATTTTATTTAACAACCCTGGTTATTAGATTTTGAAAACTTGAACAAGAAACATAAAGAAGTTTGTCTCATAGACATTTATCTCAGAGAAGTTAAAATGTACTGCATATGCCAAGAGCCAGAAGAAAAGGTTTTAAAGGATTTTGCTAAGACAAATGATTTGAGGAAGTAGGAAAAATTGCCCTGGTTTGAACAATAAACCATGTTTCCCTGTATAAAATTATCTCATAGTACCTACAAATAGTTCAATTTATATGTCAATTAAACCTAAAACATTACTCTTCTACTAAGCATTGTGTTAGGCTCAGTAAAATCCTCTTTCTTCTACTTGTTCAGTAACTTGTGACTTTCTCTAATTAAATGGAACTCCTAATGAGAGGATTTCAAGGTTCTCTAACAAATAACATATGTTTCCTCACTTGTAACTTCTGTTCTAAACACACAGACTTATTCATGGATCATCGTCTCTCAAATCCAAACCATCTTCATTGTCATCTGTGCTTAAGGATGCCAGTATTTCACCTACATCCTACATACTATCATTTGGGGTATATGTATATAAATACATATGTACATATATGTGTCATATATAGTATTATATAATATACAGAACTTTTTCTCTTTATTTTTTATTTTTTTATTTTTTAATTTTAATTTTATTGTCAAGGTGATGTACAGCAGGGTTACAGTTACATAAGTAAGGTAGTGAGTACATTTCTCGTCCAATTTGTTATTTCTCCCTTATTTTCTCCCTCTTTCTCTCTTCCCAACCCCCGCCCCCCCAAGTTGTGCGAGATCATTTCCAACATATTGTCATGTGAGTAGCACTGTTGCATTGGTTCCCCCTTTGTCCTTTGTCTCACCATTTTGTTGTTCCCCTTCCCTTCTCTAATTCAGATAAACGTATATACAATACCCAGAGTACCAAACTCACATACAGTGACAACAGGGGATATACCATAGGGGGAAAAACACAAAAGAAAAAATCAATCATGTAGTACATTAAAAACAACAGCCAAGAAAAACCTCTTGTGACCGTGTCTTGGATGATAATACCATTTTTAATTTAGTAATGTATATTCTCACTGAATTTACCACTTTTGTAAACTTTTTCAGTACTGTTTTTAACTGTTTTTATTGCATTTTTGTGTTTTATTTAATGATCCCAATTATTATTTTCATCATTTACACATGACTAAATATGTAATAATTGTACATATTTATGTATAATATGATGTTAAACATTTTAGGTAATGATAGAATTAAGGTAATTAGCATATGTCACTTAAATATTTGTCATTTCTTTGTGGTTTTCCATTTCCTCTTTTCTTTTTTTTTTCTTTTATTTTATTTGTGAACATACTGTACAGAGGGGTTACAATTACATGGGCAGGATAATGCGTACATTTCTTACCAAGCATTGCAGCCTCCTCCTTTGTTTACCCTTCACATCCCTTCCCAGCTTCCCCCCTTCCCCCCTTTTCTCTTTATTTTTTATTATTGTCATTATCATCTTTAAGTAGTTGTACAAAAGAGTTTCAATTCAACCTGTAAATTTATGAGTACAATGCATTTTGATCAATGTCACCCTTTTCATTATTCTTTCCTACCTCTCCCAACTCCATCCATCCCGTCATTTTTCCTAGTTCTATGAAAATATATGGATATATACGCATATATATGCATATGTGTACATGCATACATGTGTATATATGTATATACTTATATTTTGTATATATGTATATATTTATATTATGACTGCATTCTT